GCATAAGAAAAAAAAATATCTAAAACATATCTGACCATTTAGCTCTATTAGGGAGGATTGGTTAAGCACCTTTGTTTCAAAAAATTCCTGTATGGGTTACTAAGAATATTTTGAAGGTGAAAGAGGATTTCCCATTGCCATACCAAACTTCTGAGTGTAAAACCTATCATTAAATACAAATTTTGCATCAACAATGCAAAGTTTAATAAGTTTAATGATAGTAGGAACTGGGAATGGTAAATCATAGTTAACGAGTTCTTCAGATGATGTTTTAATAAATCTTTCAACAGGAACTTTCGTAAACAAGGAAGAAAACATAAAAAACTAACCATGTTAAAATCATTTAAGTCAGTCCAGGAGCTTAATTTATCAACTAAATCTATTTTTGTTTTAACATTAAGTTAGAAATTCTGCCAACAATTCCCTGGATTTTAAACCTGGAGAGAGTTTCGGGGTCAACGCCCCCGCGGCCGGTCTGTGACCAGGCCTCCTGGTGGATCAGGCCTGTAAACCCAGGCTGTTGCTGCTGGTGCACGCAAACCAAACGTACGAGCCACAGCCCGGCTGATCAGGACTGACTTTAGGTGTTGCCCAGTGCCAGTTTGGGAAGACTGCCAGGGGTCTGTTGGTAATCCCCCTTATGTGTGCTGGGAGGCAGTTGAACAGTCTCGGGCCCCTGACACTTATTGTATGGTCTCTTAACGTGCTAGTGACACCCCTGCTTTTCTTTGGGGGGAGGGTGAAATCGTCTGCCAAGTCTTTTGCTTTCGTAGTGAGTGATTTTCGTGTGCAAGTTCGGTACTAGCCCCTCTAGGATTTTCCAGGTGTATATAATCATGTATCTCCCCCCTCCTGCGTTCCGGGGAAATACAGGTTTAGAAACCTCAAGCGCTCCCAGTAATTGGGTGTTTTATCTCCGTTATGCGCGCCGTGAAAGTTCTCTGTACATTTTCTAGGTCGGCAATTTCACCTGCCTTGAAAGGTGCTGTTAGAGTGCAGCAATATTCCAGCCTAGATAGAACAAGTGACTGAAGAGTGTCATCATGGGCTTGGCCCCCTAGTTTTGAAGGTTCTCATTATCCATCCTGTCATTTTTTTTTCTAGAGATGCGATTGATACAAAGTTATGGTCCTTGAGGTGAGATCCTCCCACATAATCACTCCCAGGTCTTTGATGTTGGTTTTTCGCTCTTTTTTGTGGCCAGAATTGTTTTGTACTCGTGAAGATTTTTTTCCCTCATGTTTACCATATTGAGTAATTGAAATTTTCATCGTTGAATTATATGTTTTCTGCAGCCCACTGAAATTTTTGGTTGATGTCCGCCGGACCCTTTGCGTTCTGCAATGGAAAACACTGTCATGCAGATTCGGGGTCTCTGCAAAGGAACACGGTGCTGTGGCTGACATCCTTGTCTATGTGGGATATGAGGATGGGGAACAAAAAGGGAGCTAGTACTGGCCTTGTGGAACAGAGCTTTTCACCGTGCTGCCTGGGATTTTTACTCTGTTGAGACTACTCTCTGTGTTCTGTTAGTAGGAAATTAAGACCATCGACCGTTTTCCCCTGTTTTTCCTTTAGTCGCATTTTTGCGTATTACGCCATGGTCACACTTGTCGAAGGCTTTTGAAAAGTCTTTTAATATTTTTGGGCCAAAATACCAAGCCTTTTGGATAATTTTTTATGAAACTGACCCTAGGGACCTAAAGGGTCTGCTGGACCCGGTTTTGTGTTTTTTTATTAGTCCATACATGAAAGGGAAAAGATGGATTAGTGGAAGTAAATTGTTGATAATTCATTTTTTGCCTTTCATAAAGTTTTATTTTTTTATTGAAATTGCTGTTAAGGGTTTCAAAGGATTTTTTCAAAGTTAGAATATTTTTTCAAGTTTAGGATGGGTTTTTCAGTATCTTTAAAGAATTATTCTTTTTTTTCTTGAAATCATTTTTTTTTCAAAATTTACATTGCTTTTAAATTTTGTCTGCTTTAGTAAGGCGCAAATTTTTTTTTGTTTTTAAGTGTATCATAAGACTTAAAGAATCTTTTTAGGGCAATTGGGAATGTTTTTGGTTTTAAATAAATTAATACCATTCCTTTACTAATATTAATTTCATCAGGGGATAAATCAGAAAGTTTTTCAAAGTTACAAAAGGCTTTTGCAATTTCAACATTATTAAGTTTTTTTGAAGTTGCAAAACTTAGGCCAAAACCCTAGAGCAGCAGTTGTATTTTGTCTAAAATTTCATCTGATTAGTTAATTACAAAAACTGTTATTAGCATGCTTTGTCCAATCACTATTTTAAATTTAAAAATGTCTAATTTTCTTTGTAGTTTGTTTTTGAGTTCATTACAAATTCTTCTGAGTTTATTATAGCAATGATCCAACATACTGTGTTTCCATTCTGATGGAATGGCTGATTAAAAGAGTATTTTTTGTTTTTTCAATATTTTGAATGCTTCCTTCTCCTGTTTCTGAAGAATAATTCTCATAAAATCATAAAAAGGACGATCTCTCATGTCAAGGAGTCTATTGGGTAAAAGAGATTTGGGGCAGAACTTGTTCATTTAAACAATTTTTTAAAATTGTTGAAATGTATGAAATAGGTAATGATTTGAAATACCCAAGAAATGTAATTGATAAATCTTTTAAAGTTGCTAGAAATACTTTTTACAATCCAAAAAGTGACAACCAGCCTTATTCAACTAAAAATATGTTGGTTCTCCCTTACCATGAAAACTTGGTTGATATGCTTCTCTTCTCAAGACTTAATATTAAAGTTGTATTCAAAAATCTTGATACAGTAAAAAAACTTTTGATAAAGAATTCCCCCAAATGCGATAAATTTTTATTACGGTCAAACTGGTAAAAATCTCGAACTAAGATTAAAACAACATAAATATAGCATTAGAACTGGACAAGATTCCAATGCTCTATTTATTCATGTAAGAGATTTTAACCATCCAATTTATTTTCATAAAGTTGAGAGAGTAGTATCAAGCAAGTCCATGGTCGACAGGAATATAATTGAATCTTGTTTCATAAAAAGCAGTTTTGACAATAATATGAATATTTCCTTTGGTTTATATAAATTAGATCCATTTATAATTAATAGAATTTGGGAAGAATTTAATAATACACTGGACAAATAATAATTTTTAAAATTTCTTTTTTCTTGGGTAGAATAGTTTGTTGGTGGGTTGTGTGAAGGACCTGTCTAGTTGGGCCGGCGGGCCTGCTGCAATGTTCCCTTTCTTATGAGTCACACGTCAGGTGTTTAACTGTTGTGGGATCTGATAGTGAGGTGTTGGCTAGACCCCTTATATACCTTCCTTTGATGCTTTACTTTCATAGTTCCTTGATAATGTGAGTAGTCATGAAAGCGCTTGGAATTTCTCTATTCTTTCACAGTGGTTGTCTTGCATACATGTACAAGCATATATATACACACCCCTCTGGGTTTTCTGCTATTTTCTTTCTAGTTCTTGTTCTTGTTTATTTCCTCTTATCTCCATGGGGAAGTGGAACAGAATTCTTCCTCCGTAAGCCATGTGTGTTGTAAGAGGTGACTAAAATGCTGGGAGCAAGGGGCTAGTAACCCCTTCTCCTGTATAAATTACTAAATTTGAAAAGAGAAAATTTTGTTTTTCTTTTTGGGCCACCTTGCCTCAGTGGGATATGGCTGGTTTGTTGAAAGAAGAAAGAAGTATACTGTTTACTCCACAGTATACTTCATGGATGATTTAAGAGAATATGTTACAAGTGAGCAGCAAGCCAAGATGGAATTTTGAAACAAAGTGATTAGGATCAAAACACACATTTACAAAAACAATACTTTAGCTACATATACTATAAAATGCATATCAATGAAAATCATAAATATTGGGAAATGGATTACTTTACCCTGATTGGTAGAAGATTCATTAATTGGGGAAGTCATCCATGACTGCCCTAGAATGTGTTGCCCTTGATCAAAGTAGTCAACAGTGCCCATGGGATGAGCTACAGACTTCTCTGAGTGAGACTTCCATACACCTAGGAGCCAATTGCTAGTCTGCTGTAGTAAAACATTATTATCACCCTCGTAAGTGCAACTAGCATCATTGTCATTACGCAGGTAAATCAGTCCAGAACCTGAGGACAGAATTAGTTATTTTTTCAATAAAGTGTGTAAGAAACTATATTGTCAATACAATACTCAACTATATTCTGTCAAGGATATTAAGTAAAATTTCAGTTAATTTTAGTATAACAGATTATTTTTACAATACCTTGTACATTTGTGTATGTCACAATATTTGATATTGCATTATTCAAGTGAAAAAAAAATTATAAAAAATATGTAGTCAATCCTCTAGTGAGTAATGTATGGTGAGTGAGCTGTAGTGGGATGTGCTACTTACACCTTGTTGGGTAAAAAGACAGATGCAAATAATGTGACATTTTATTGTGGCAACATTTCGTTCTCAAGGAGTGAAATGTTGCTACTGTAAAATGTCACATTAGTTGTACCTGTGTCCTGTTACCTAACATTTGAAAGGTAATTCAACCATTATTACTACTTACACCTCAGGTAGCCATGACCACCACATGCTTCCCGGCACTCCTGTATACCATCTCGTGCTATCCAGCTAGATATGGGCTTTCCAGCAGATGACAATCCATGTACTTCTTGGCCATACAGAGCCTGGATATAAATAGATGAAGTTTAAGAATAATTTTTAACACACCAGCCATGTCCCACCAAGGTAGTGTGACCCCAAAAAATGAAACATATTCTCCATTACTGATTTATTAGCTGTCTTGTCACAAATGTGTAGAAAGGACATTTCAAATGATCCTTAAAATGTAATATCCTCACCCATCCTTCAGAGTGCAGAGATTGTGTTTTCCACCTCCAGGACTTGTGGAAACCAACTAAATGGTTTCCCTGAATCCCTTCATAAATATTACTTTGCTTACACCCCAACTACATTTCAACTCATAAAACTCTGATCTAAAGCACATGAAAGCCTGCTGGATGCTCAAGCCTCAATCATTCAAAACCTTTACACCATCACCTCCAACCATTCCTGGGATGATACCCTACCCCTCCTTACTTCTGCCCTAAATTTATCCACCTTCTTAGGTATCCCATTCTACTCCATCCTCTCTAAATGCTTCAACCACCTCAACAACCTCTCCTCAACTTTATGAATTATACCTGTGGTAGTCTCACTCTGTTGTCTAATTTCTACACTTCAAATTCTCTACATACTGTTCATGCTACACACTGTTCTCAAATATGACCTCTCTACTACATCCAGCCTCCTCGTTAGTGCAACATTTAAAGCCCATGCTTCCCATCCATATAAAAGTGTTGGAACTACTAGACTCTGGTGCATTTCTTTTTTTTTTTAACCTCCATAGATAAGTTTCTTTCTTTCTACATATGCCTCAATATCCCACCTAACATTTTCTCCTTGTATATTCTACGGGTCACCTTCTCTTTTACAGAACCACCTACTGAAATGCTCACTCCACATATCTAAATACATTCGCTTCCTCAATACTCCCTCCTTCCAATCTGATAATGAATCTCATTGCCTAGACTATTTTTGTTACTCTCATTTCCTTACTCTTTTCCATGCTCACTTTACTTCCTTCTTTGACATGGCTCCAAATTTTTCTACCAACCTTCACAACTTTTCTTCAGAATCTCCTAAAATAAGTGTGTCATCAACAAAGGGCAATTGTGACAACTTCCACCCATCTCACATTTAATAAATTTCAATCCTGCATCTCTCCCCAACACCCTAGCATTTACTTCTTGTATAACCACATCTGTAAATACGTTAAATAACCATGGTCACCCTGCCTCGGTGGGAGATGGCCGACTTGTTGAAAAAAAAAAAAAAAAACCATGGTGACATCACATATCCCTGCTTGATAATAATCTCCTCTCCTACATACACTAACTGTTGCCTCATTTTTCAGTAACCTACCACTTATTCCTTACACTTGCCACATTGCTCTCTTATCCACCCCACCATATGCCTCTTCTAAATCCATAAATGTTTCAAACAGTTTTTTATCCTTATCTAAGTACTGTTCACTTATATGCTTCAATGTAAACACTTGGTCCACACATTTCCTACACTTCCTAAATCTTCCTTGTTCCTCTTCAACCCTACTTTCTGTCTTACCCCTAATTCTTTCAACAAAAATTCTACTGTACACTTTACCTTGTATACTTAAAAGGGTTATTTCTCTATAATTTTTACTCATGCCCCTTTTCTGTTATACAATAGAACTACAAATGATTTCTGCTAATTACTTGGTACTTTTCTTTCTTTAACCCTTCCACTGTCAGTCATTTTAGAACTACATCACAGAGGTCAGGATCCCTGATGTAGTTCTACATCATAAGCTCAGTCCCCTTAGATAAGCTGTGAGAGCTAAATTTTGGCTTAGATATGAGAGAATGGGTCTGTGCAGTAATATGTGCACTGTATAAATAAAATTCTTCCCCACACGGTGTATGATGGGAAAACAAAACAGTGACCGTGTGTACAACTGATAATAGTAATTTTGCTGTATTTTCTAGGATGCTTTTAAGGTTTTATTGGCTTTTTTTTGGTATCATTTGATAGAATGGAAGACATATTACTGAAACAGAGATGAGTTTGATTGGTTTCAGGACTAGAAGTAGCTTGAAATTGAGTTCAAAGTAGCAGAAATATTAAATTTTTACCAATATTCCTGAGGATGGGTAAAGCCCCCCCCCCGTCCCCAATCACACAAACCTCAGTCTGTTTTTTTTTTTTAAACAAGTCGGCTGTCTCCCACCGAGGCAGGGTGACCCAAAAAGAAAGAAAATCCTCAAAAACAAAATACTTTCATCATTCAACACTTTCACCTCAATCACACATAATCACTGTTTTATAGGTTTTTAATAGGTCTGATTCAATTATTGGAATGCTGCAGACCATGACCAATTTTTCCTGGTTATATTTTCTTATCCAAGAAATAGAGCATATCTTCTATTTTTGTGCGAATAAGAATTCAAAATGAAAAGCAAGTGCAATATAGGAGAGGATTGGGAACATGACTAATGAATAGAGGAAATGTTGTTTCAGTGCCAGGAATGTTTAGTATGGGACTTTATTTTTAAACTGGTATTTTTTTAATTTTGTGTGAAACTGACCAAATTACCAAATTCTGATCACTTTACAGGGTAGCTGAAATTTCTGAATGGGTAGTTTCTTGTGCTCAATTAACAGAATGGAAGGCATTCTAGTGAAATAGCTAGGAATATCATTGACTGGAAACAATGAAACTGGCTTAAAATAGGACTCAAAGCTGGCAAAGTCACTGGTGTTTAAATTGCGCTGAGACTTCTAACTTTGTGCTACGTGATTCAGTAAGTTTTCCATCAAATTTTGTACTCTTGAAGTCATTACCTTCAGAAAAATATTCTATACCATTTCAAAACAAAAAATAATTAAAAAAAAGTGGACATTGGGAACAATATTAATTGCTGGGGTCTGGACAATGAAAGGATTATGTAATGCTAGTAGTATTATCTTCTGATTAATACAATATTATCTGTTCAAAAGTAAAATCACTGATTACATGAAAAGCAAAAAGAAAAAAATCAGAAATAAAATACAACACTAAGAGATCACTTACAACTCTGCCTTTGTCAGAAGCATCAACCATTTCCATACGAAACTTGACAAACAAGCTGTAGAACGTTTTGGTGAAGTTATCCAGTGCATATGTTGCTGCTATATATGGGAACAGTCTCCATTGCTGAAGGTCAAAGAAACAAAGCATTAATAGTAAGCTCATGCCTTTTTTTGTTTAAAAGATCATACAGTGATTTATATGTAACTGCTTAGTAGCTTACAAATTCCTCAAAAAGAAAACCACATTAAGTCATTCAGACAGTGACAAACCCACTGTCTAGAATAAAACTGAGAGAGAAAAGGAAGAAGAGCCTTCACAATAGTGTACAGTAGGGCCCCACTTATACGACAGGTTAGGTTCCAGGCTACCGCCGGAAAGCAGACATCACCGGAAAGTGGAACGCCATTTTTTCTCCACTTATAAATGCACATAAATGCCAGATAACAAGTTTACACTAACAAATATTAAGTTAGCAATAGAACTAGCCATTAAAACAATAAAAAGTAAAAAACACACACAGTACACCCATTACTTACCTTAAAATATTTGTAGTCTTAATGCAGGGTGAGAGGTGAGCCATATTTATTTGA